TGGCCCCCAACTGGAACGTGGCTCTTCTGATTTCCTCATTTAACAACGGCGTTGTAAGGGCGTCATTCTGAGTCGAGGAAACCAGAGAAGGGAATCCCTGCAAGATTGAGTGGTCAAAACCGGTCCCCCTGCTGGTGAAAAGCTGTTGGTAGAACTCAGTGGCCATCATTCCCAGATCCTCTTGCTTATCAATCCAGTCCCCATTTCCGTTCTTGAGTTTTTCAATTCTGTTTGATACTCTTCTTTTAACAGTGCTGGCATGGAAAAAACCTGTATTTTGGTCACCCTCCTGGAGCCAAGAGTTACGAGACCGTTAAGCCCATAATTCTTCTTCCTTTGTCCAGATGAGTTGGAGTTCATGTTGCAGTACTTTTTCTTCCTCAACCATTGCCAGCGACCTGTTAGGTCCCTGAAGGAGCTGTATGCTCTGTCTGATTTCACTTTCCCTTCGACACTTCTCTACCCTGTCATTCTTTGCCCAAATACTGAGCATATCTTGACAATTGGAGAGGGTGTTATTGATTGATTCTCCTCTGTCAATCATATCCAAAATAATCTGACAGCATGCCTCTTCATCCCTCCACCTTTTATCAAAACGAAAAGGCATGTTCACTCTGATTCTTTTCGGGGACAAATCTATTCTGATCGGACAGTGGTCCGACTCCACAAAGTCTTCATGAAAGACAACCGCAGATGAGAATTCAATCCTCCAGGAAGCAGAGCAAAGGGCACAGTCCAGTCTTTCTCTAATTAGGTTGTCATCTTGCTGCTTATTTGACCAAGTAAAAGGCTGACCCGAGAACCCAAGATCAATGAGAGCATTCCGCTCTATGAAGTACTTGAAAGGGGCTACATTCTCATTCCTTAATGGGCATCGCCCCTGCTTCTCAAAAGGCTCCAAAGCCACATTTAGGTCTCCTACAATCAACCACTTTTCATCCTGGATATCTCTGAGGTTCGTAAGTCGATCCTAGAGCATCCTTCTCTCTACCGCCGTGGTAGGAGCATGGATGAAGGTACAAAAAAAACTACTTCCTTCACTGCAAATACAAACATCCACAAACGATTTACATGCATCCAAAATCCTAATAGAGACATCATCCTTCCACCAGAGGGCAAGTCCACTCCCTTCCTCTGCTGGGCTAACATACTCCGAGTGATCAAACCTCAGTGTTCTTCTCCTGCTGTCGAGGAAAGAGTCTTCTTTCTTCGTCTCCATGAGAAAAACGATTGAGGGGCCGAATTTCCGGCACAACCTGCCGCAGTAGCTCCTTGTAAGTGGCTGGCCATACCCCCTACAGTTCCAGCTTAGAATCCTCATTCCTGATTTGGCGGCTTGAGGCATGCCGCCTCTTCCTTTGGAGATGGTGACTCCCCTTCTCCCGACTGGGTTCCATCATTGTTGATCTCAGCAATACTCCTTCTCCTTATGGTATTTCTCCTCATTTGATAGGTCTTCTTGCTCTCTCCTGGGCTGAAAGACAGATTCTCAACAGGTATGATAGTTGGGGTGAGAAACAGAGGAAGAGAATTAGAGGGGTTGTCTCTGGTGTCGGGCTTCCTTTTTTTCTCCGGTCTGGTTCTGATCTCCCCTCCGGCTGGTGTCACCGCGGTAGCTATTGACGAGAAGTGGGTCTGGGATAACATATCGGCCTGGACCTGAAGGTATGCTGCTTCCGTTGGGCTTCCGAGTGGTATGACTTGGGCTTGCACTTGGGTAGTTTCGACTTGGGTGAAAGCCGCTTGCTTCTCCAATTGACCTATCTGGGTATGGTGTTGGGCTTCATTGTCCTGGGCCGCAGTATGATTATATTGGGAGTAGGTTGGGCTGGCAAGGGTTAGACAAAGGCCCATTTCCCTCAGGCTTGCCTGCTTGTTTCTCGGCTTCTCTCTGCCTGTTAGGTCCAGGCTCTTCTGCAGTGCGATTGTTGCGGCCTCCATCTCCTCCTCCATGTAGCCTGTCTGGTGGGCAGTGCTGGGATTTCTGGTGGATTCCCTCTGAATCCATACTGGTCCAGTCAGTAGTTGTGGTTCTTCAGTTGTCAGTGCTGGAAAGCCTGGGGGGCACGAGGAAGAACCCTGGCCTGTGCGTCCCACTAGCGACATCAGCGAGGATTCCCCTCTATATCCTCTCTGCCTGTGGGACCTTGTGCTTTCCAGTGCCAGCTGCTTCGATTTTGCTAACTTTTCCCGGAACAACGCCGGCGGAGTGTTCGCCGGAGAGTCGTGTCCCGCTTTGAGGGCCGCCGTATAAACCTCCGAAGGGTCAATGCATAACCCTCTTCTTCTATGATCCTCCCTCAGCAGGCAGTTCTGGATTAGGTGACCCAGCTTTCCACAGAAATAGCAAAGATCCATTATTCTTTCGTACTTAAAACTCACCCAGATTGATCTCTCCCCCTGAGGGTACTCGAACCCAATAGGTATGGGTTTATCGAGTTCCACTTCCACCTTTGCTCTTACAAACTTCAACCAGCCTCTGAACTCAAAATTCGATTGGTCGAGGCCATAGTAGTGGGGAAAGATATACTCAGCAACTGCTTGGGTGGCTTCCTCGTCCTTGAGCGACTGTGGTAAGTCATGCATCTGGACCCAGAGTGTGACCGTGGGGATGTCCGATGGCTCTGCCTTCTGCTCCCCATCCCACTTCCTGAGTGCGATGAGTGTGTTTTCCAGGTTCTAGGGTCTGGCTTCATAAACCGCGTCCCTTTGGGTGGTGTTTTGGAACGAGTAGACAAAAAGGTTGCCTGCTTCTTTCGTTGCCTGCACTTCGCCATAAGCTCGCCATTTGCTTGCCGCAGTGTTTTTTGCTTTCTGTAGGTTGATGTTTGTGTCGGTGACCCATTTGCCTAGTAACATAGACATGCCGCTTCCTCTGGCTCCCGTCACTTGTGGCTTGACATTGAGGACCAGATGGCTTCTCTCTCCTCTCAGGTGCATCGGGCTATTCTCCATTGCCATTTGGGGGTGAGGAGGAAGGATACAAAGATAGTTGGGGGAATTTCTGCTGTTTCTCTGGGAAAGCTTTGGGTGTGTTTCATTCGAGATTGGGTAGGAAGATGAGGATGGTTTGGATACCCCCTGCTCTTCCTTAAATAGGTTTGAGACTTCCTCCTCCTATTCTTGCTTCCCCTCGGGACTGCTCTCAGGGTACTCAGCATTGAATGCTGGGTATTTCTCACCTTTTCCCCTTCTGGACCTCTGCCGACCAATCCTTTTCTTTTCCTTTTGAGTGGCATGCTCCTCTTCGCATTAATTTTCCTCTTCTTTGTAGTGGCTATATCAGGTCTGATGTCAGTCGGCTGATCTCCTCCTTTCCTTTTGTTTCTAATGTATCTCTTTGCCTTAACTCGCTGTGGCTGGTGGTTTGTCAGTCTGACTTTCCTTCTCTGTATGCGTCGCATGATTGTTGCATTAACTTCCCAGATCCTTCCGCCTAGTCTCCAATGGTTCTTCTTGGCGTGTGAATCTTTCTCGGGCAAGGTTCCTTCCAGTCTATCATTCATTGCTCCTTTGCCTCCTGTCAGCCGCCCCATATTGAATACTTCCTCTGACCTTTTGATATCCCTCCCCTGCTTTGGATTAATTTCACCCTTCTCAGGTGGTTTGGGTGGTGGTTGCGCAGGGATCCCCTGGCCAGTCTTGCCCTTAGTGGCTCTTCTCGAGGCCTGTGGAACAGATTGGCTGACCCTAGCGTAAATGCTTGTTTCTGCTCCATAAAACCCCCTGGCCTGAGCAAAGTGACTGATTGGGATTTGTCTGAGGGAGATCTTGGATCATTGAATGCTCCGAATTCGGCAGCTCGAGTGGTTGTGACTGATTGGCTGGTAAAAGAAGTGTGATGAGCAGATTGGAGTTGGGTGATTTTTCCGGTGGTATTGTTTTGAGCGTATGTTACTGCAGGGGGGGGGGGAGAGGGGGGAGCATTTCTCTTTTTTTGGGATGTGTTTTTGATGGATGGGTTGATTAGGATGGTTATTAATCATTGATTGAGGTGACAATTTGAATCCATCTAACATTTTCATTTTTTAGAGTTTCGTGGGAGGACTAAGAATAAGTATCGTCTGAATATATGATTTTGTGATTTCGGATGCACCTTGTGGTGCCTGCATGCAATAGTTCAACTCGTGATTCACATAATGTCGGTCCATGTTGATGCCTACTATTATCAGTGCGCGCTAGCAAAATCTTTATTCGAAATAGTACATGATTTTCTGACTGAAGTGTAAATTTTCCTACCGTTTTGGTTTTTTTTTTTTTTTTTTATGACGAGGAACACCCTCCACGGTCACCACCTTTGGTGATGCCGTAGTCGGGCCAAACCCCGGGACCTCCGCCAGCAGTCCGGGCAAATGCGGGTGCCTCCGGGAACACCATGGTGGCGGTGAGGATCGAACCTGAGACCTCTCGGTCACTAGTTCGCCTTCCTTACCACCAGGCTATGTGACCTTTGGCACCGTTTTGGTTTTATTACGCCGTCGAGAATGAATTGGATTCCTTCTGTCTTCCATTTTCACCACCGTGACATCCTAACCCTACCATGCCATGGGGAGAATCTTGATTGTACCGTTTTTTCCCCAGTCATACCAAGGTGAGATTTAGATTTGTTCTAAGTACTTAGAAACACCATCATTCGAGGTATAACAAAAAAAAAATTGACCCATTTCTGGCCTGGCATATTTTGTGGATCCTTGTTGGGTTAATGTTAAAATTTTGTTCTCTGGAGAGGCAATGACGAAGTTAACGGAAATGGTTGCATTGCATTGTTTTGTCAAATAGAATAGCAACCCCCTGTCTACGCTCACAATTACACATATACTTTCAACAAAGATTGGTAACCCTAACCTAAAGAACAACCGAACCTTACCACTCAGCCTATTCGATGGTCTAAACTAATAAGTAGGCTTGAAAAAGCTGAACTTAAGTATCGATGACAACATAAACCCCAGCTGTAATCAACATGCCACTCGGGGTTAGCCCGAAAACCCTTAGCACCCAGTTCAGGAGTCACGAGTTGGCTTCCTGACCTTGAGCCACATGAAGCACGAGTACGCTAGTGTTATCAACAACACAATCCCTTCCATGAGGCCTGCCACGCTTCCGAAGAATGGTATGGCCACGGCCATGAAGAACCAGGAGAATGCGAACCCTACCCGTAGTGACGCCCTGGCCCAGACAGGGCAGGGCCTCTTTAGCTTGGTCACCACGGACGATTCCACCTGGTCGAGCATTGGCATCCCGTAGACCTAGAATGAGCTCACCGCGCTCATACAACTACGAAAAAGTTGATCAACCCCAAGATGAAGTGTGACGTATCCTACCCGTGGAAGACGAACAACGTTGTCAACATCCCGCCCTGTGGAATCTGTCGACATGGTCACTTATGTTAGATAAATTTTTTTTCCATATATATATATATACAAAAGCATATATATGGAAATTGCCACATCAGCCATAGAGGATCCGTGAGCAATTTCCGGAAGGGTATTTCCGCCAACTTGCAGCAGCTGTTTCAAAGGCCCAGTAAAGCTAAAATTGTTGCGCCACGGCATGTATTTGGGCCACTATAAAGTATAATGGGCTTCATGAATCACGACCAGTAGATTGTTATTGAAGAATGAAGATAAAAATAAAATACCCCTGGATCACTAGCGCGGTTCATTGAGACAAAGAGCGGGGCCGGAGTGAGGAAGAAGGGGTTGGGCCGGTTGGCTGACTATCTGAGATTAGGGCTGCAAATGAGCCGAGCTGCTCGCGAGCGGCTCGGCGTTCGACTCGAGAAAAGCTCGTTCGAAACTCGACTCGTTAATAAACGAGCTGAACACGAGCTCACCTTTGTTCAACTCGTGAAGCTCGCGAGCTAGCTCGACTCGGTGGCTTGTTGAGCTAAACTCGTGAGCTGGCTCGTGTAGAGCTCATGATATGTCTTAACATGCAGCTAGAGAGCCAACTCGATTACCAAATTATGGACAAATCAATATATATCTTATTATTGTAATTCATATGGTTGTTAAATTATATATCTCACCATACATAAAGTTTAACACTTTGAGTATGTGAGCAAATCTATCTTATTTTGTATTTTTAAAAAAAATTATGCATCATAGATTGTTTCCATACTATGAAATAACATGATTTGTAGTAGTTAAAATTTATTAACTAAATGATATATGATACCAACAAAGTATAATATGAGATTAGCTAACAAAATAAATTATATGTATCATGATATACAAAATGAAGTACCATAAAAGTTAAGATTTTAATAAACAAGCTAGCTCGAGCTCGACTCGACTCGGCTCGTTAATAAACGAGCTGAGCTCGAGCTCGACTCGTTTATTAACGAGCCGAGCTCAAGCTGGGGTAAAACTCGACTCGACTCGGCTCATTTGCAGCCCTATCTGAGATAGGTTTTTTATTATTATTAAGTTTGTTATTCTACTTATAGGCATATATTGTTTTTAGAATATGTCTAATACATGTTGTGACGGCAATGTGGTAGGATGGAGCGAGTACCTCAATATCCATACTTGTCCCTCACCAAAGCGCAGGTCAGATCGGGACATCGGGTAGTATCCACACACATACGGTTTTATATAATTTGAATAACAAGTTATTTTTAATGATAAAAACAAAAGAGAATAGTTTATATATGAAAAATAGAGATAATAGGTAAATAAATTGAGTGAAATTAATTAAAAGACAAAGTTTTGCAATTAGCTTAAGTGTCATTGGATGAAAATATAATTTAGGATAAGTAAAAATAGGGCAAGAACAATAAAATATGAGACAAATCAAGATAGGACCCGGGGTACAGAGCAGGGAGAAGTAGTACCCATAGCTCGAGCCACACAACTGCAGGTCGGATGCCTCAACATTGGTCGGTTGGATCATACCCATCCACGCAGGTCGAAATTGCCTTCACTAAATAGATTGGATCCTGATATGACTATCAAATTTTAGAGAGTTGATAAAGGTCGTCCTTAAAATTACTATTGATCGTCCTAAAAAATAACAAAGTTACATTTTTAACCTTTTGGCATTTTTAGCAAACAAACATCACTTTAACTAAAAAAAATGAAAAACACTCAATTTCCCACACTCTCGAATTCATCGTTGACATTCTCGAGTCGTAATCGTTGAGAATACGTCCAAATCATGAGTAGCGACTCCGACGAGGTAAAAATCTGATTTTTTTTCAAAAAAAATTCCAAAACCCCTCAACTGAAGACAATTTTCGGTTGTACCATGGCTCAACCTAAGTCAATTTTCGGTTGTACCATGGACCAACCGAAAATCACCTTCGGTTGCTCCATGGCTCAACCGAAACTGATTTTCGGTTGAGCCATGGAGCAACTGAAGGTGATTTTCGGTTGGTCCATGGTACAACCGAAAATTGCCTTAGGTTGAGCCATGGTACAACCGAAAATTGGCTTCGGTTGAGGGATTTTGGTTTTTTTTTGGATTTGTTTGGTTTATATCAATAATTTTCTATTCTTTTACTACGATTTATGATTTGATCCATAAGATAATTTGTTCAGTTTCGGTTGAGCCATGGAGCAACTGAAGGTGATTTTCGGTTGGTCCATGGTACAACCGAAAATTGCCTTAGGTTGAGCCATGGTACAACCGAAAATTGGCTTCGGTTGAGGGATTTTGGTTTTTTTTTTGGATTTGTTTGGTTTATATCAATAATTTTCTATTCTTTTACTACGATTTATGATTTGATCCATAAGATAATTTGTTGAATTTTGGTTTATATAATTTTTTAGATTTATGGAAGGGGAGGAGTTGTTTGTTTTGTGTTTGATTTTGAAATTCAAAATGGGCAATTTGGTAAATTACATATTAAGTTAGGACGATGGTTAGTAATTTTTAGGACGACCTTTAACCATTCAGAAATTTTATACCACCAAGCGTGTCCCACAATTTACAAACCAACACTAATTGTCAAAATCTTGTTTACCAAGGTACCAAAATTTGGTACGGTGCTCATGCCCTAAAACAGTAGACTCCAAATTCTCCATCCAACTCTTGACATTTACCTTAATCTGAAAACACCTACCATACCAAATGGCATCAAAGGGGTCCAAAACCTCCACTGACCACTAAACTCTCTTATTCTACTAATTGACAGAGTCTTCTTCAGAACCCATAGATGACAAACAGCTGGTGGATTTGCTCCGAGCCACTAGGGGTGTACAAACGGAGTGGTTATCGTGATAATCATTTTAATCGGTAGTATTTAGATAATTTGGTTTGGTTAATTTGGATAATTGGTTTGGTTTTGATGGTTTGGTTTTGGTGGTTTGATTCGGTTTCAGACACTCCTAACCAATATCAAATTAATCAATTAAGTTATTGGTCATATATATATTATATACACATACTTTGCATAACCACTAAAGAGTCAAACTTTCCACCCATTTTAGGATCATAAAAAATAGGCAAAATACACTTTCATAGCCATAACTATTCACGTTGTGACAAATATAGCCACTTTTTGAAAAATACACTCGTATAGCCAAAAATTAAAAGTTTGTAAAACTTTAATGTCAACTATAGCCATTTCTGTTACTGCCGTTAAAGTCATCACGGACGCCGTCATCGCCAAGTGACATGGCTTCCACCTAGATGACATGTCGTCGCCAACTAGACTTGGTTTGCCCACGTCACCGCTGACTTGGATTCCACCAACAGATTAAAAAAAAATTATTATATAATTAACTAGTTCCCCTTTAATTTCTCCTCGCTAATTACCTCCGCCATCCGGATCCAAAATCCAATCGAGACCACAAAAATCCTGCACATCAGCTCCCTTCTTCTTCTTCTTCTTTTTCTCCTTGATTTGATGAAATCAATTTCGTTGCTCACAACCTAACCCGTCCCCAGTCAATAACAATGGTGAAAGAGGACGAGCGGTTGCCGTGACCGCCATCAAGGTGAGGATTTGGCCGGAGATCGACGATTTCGTCGGAGAGGATTCCACCTCCAATCGACCGCATTGCTTCTCCATCCAAGCCGAGAGGCATAGAGCAGCCGCGGCCTTCATTTCTCCCTTTCTCTTTCGCTGCCGACAGGTGAAGAAACCCTAGCTCTGTTCTGCTCTCGTCTATCTACAGCATCGATTCTCCTTTAGTTTCCCCACCGCCGACGTGACTTCCCTCCAGCTCTATTGCCCTCTAATTTACCACAACGGAGCTCCGCAATCTCGTAGGTATTCAATTTGCTCTGCATAGCAAGCAATTGCGCATCTTACCTATTGTAGGGTTTCGACGACAAAGACGCTCCCCGCCGCCGTTATTGGAGGAATCGGAATCATAATCAGGGGAAAAAGCGTTTGAGAGATCTCTATCGTGGGAGATGATCTGGGCCATGGATTTCCACACGGTGGCACCGATGTCGTCGATTGCCTGGCCGACGGTCTCGACCTTCTTCATGTTCTTGTTCGCTAGGCTAAGGGGAATGAGCTTGTGGGTGCCGCCTTCGATTTGGAGTGATGGTGGAGGGGTTTTAGTGAGAAGTGAGACAGAATACTCTGGGTAAAACTCAATCGACAACAGCCGACAGGATGTATGGACAACGGGGAAGAGAATCATGATGGGTCTCCTGGGTTGGGTAGATGGAAAGAAGGGGAAAAGAAGATGATGAAGTTCGGTTTTTCATTTTTATTTATTTTTACTTTTTAGTGTAATTATAATAAAATAAGAAAGGAAACTTTCCACCTAGGATTGGTTTAAACAAAAAAATCGCCACATCACCAGAAAAAGTTAGTACAGTCAGCATTTAAGATATTGTCGTTAAAGTTTTGGACGGAATGGCTATACGAGTGTATTTTTCAAAAAGTGGCTATATTTGTCACAACGCGAATAGTTATGGCTATGAAAGTGTATTTTGCCTAAAAAATACAGCTCAATATTGTTCATATATTTGTAAATTGTAGACCACAAAATATGGACGCTTAATTTCGATAAAATTCATGCATTATGTTGAATAAAAACTTGAAATGAATGTCTTTTCATCCTATGATAATGCTAAGCGACTAAGTCAATTCACATAAACATACAACAGTTCATTAACCCCATTACAATTGGTATATATTTTTGTTAAATGAATACTTCAATTGATGGTAAGATAATTGTATTATATGCATGTATTTATGTTACGGATTAAGTATAATTATGTTTTGATTTGTATGTTTTATTTATTATATAAATTGCAGATTGATGCATTAACCAAAGATTTTTCTCACTTACTGATAATGTTATGTTATATTAGTTAATATGGTTAACCAATAAACCAAACCAACTAAACTTTGAATTTAGTTAATTTGATTATTGTATTAGTTTGGACGGTTTGGTTCCCTTTTAACTATCTAACGCTACAAATTGAAGGGAAAGTAATGCTGGGACAACCCTTTGTTTAGGTGGTTCATACAGTCACATTGCCTAGAAGAAAAGATGAGGGGATTGAACGGAAAAAAGGGGCCATTTTGCAGTCTACACAGCTGCGCACGATGATGGAAGGAGAACAAGCTGGTTCGTAATCCCACTGGAGTTTCTGAACCACGCCATATTCAGAGAGCTCCTGGAAGCTTGGTCCAGCGCTATAGATCCAGACCAGAAGACACGGAAAAGGCTCTGCTTCTAAGCATCTCAGCAGAAAGAAACTATATCTGTGGCTTGTATTGTAGCGGTAGGAGTGTTCAAATGGTTACTATAGTAATTATTAAATAGAATAATCCTATGTCCTATTAATCATGGAATACAGTATCATAATTGGTGCTCACATTCTTCATATAGCAATAATCGGTACGATATGCGTGGAATTTGACTAATCGATCGGTTACCTCTGACTCATTGTCATTGAGCTATATGCTCCCCCATGCTTTTGGCACTTTTTCCCCTAATATTTTGTTTTGTGGTGATGTGCATGCATGTCATTATTCGGATGGTCAACACGATGGATTCGTCGCACGTGATGGGAGGAGTTGTCATGCAAAAAGTTCAAGTGCTACAATCATCGTTTCAATGTGTTACGTTTCATTTCGCTCCTCATAGGATGTAACAGGGCTACTCATTCCTCGTTGAATTGCATTCTTATCAACCAACATTTTTTTCTCCTGTTTATGTAAACTAATTTGCAAAGATTTAATATATTTTCGTTTCTACGATGTTTCCCGTTGAGAATACCTTTAACAGAAAAACATTATTGATTAGGTACAATTGAGTTAGGAGCGGACCAATTGGTTGCCCACCCTACTCACCATCATGCATGGTGGTAGTGTTTTCTATGGAGATTTACCAATACAATTGGGCAACAACTGCTCAAAAGTGCATCCATACGAATGACGTTGAGAATGTTGGTTGAACAAGTTGCCATCATACATTCTTTGAGATGCTTGGAAACTTTAGATTTGGAGATTACTTCAAGCGAGAAGCAGTTGGATGGGCATGGAAGCTTTCAATAGAGGAGTACGTAGATAGATATATAATGCTGATGTTACTCAAGCTCCGGCTTGTCTTTCCATTTTTAATAAGGCAAGGAGAACTTCCTTCATATTCTTTTCCTTCCTACTCTCGCAGATTTGGGCTTCAATCTGACAGAATTTGCCTATTGGACTGTCATCTGCATTTCCAGCCTGAGAAACCGTGTAGTTTGCAACATTTATGTTCTTGGTAAAGCTACAACAAGCATCAGGCAATGGTGATATATGATATGGGAACATGTTATTTTCCATCTCTGTAGTGGTGGTTTTGGATCCAGCAATGTTTGTGCTGATCTTTAGTGTGAAATATCTTTGTGATTTCTCAAAATGCATTTCTGTTAAAGTCGTTCTTTGTTTGAATAGAATGAAACATACTTGGTTGAGATAAAGATTCTAGTACTGGTCTTTGTACATACATTATGAAAGCATATTGAATATACTGAATGAACTTTATGATGAAAGTGGATTATTCTATTAATTCACTTATATTCCTTCGCATGGCCTAGTTAAGCCTAGGATCTGCAAATCTCTGAGAGGACCTGCATTTTCTGCCATTTGAAAGTGAAGGAATTTTATGTGTTACTAGATTTACATGTGGAGATCCAATGGATGATATTGCGGTTTCCATTTTGGTTGTAGATGTGACCTGACAATGTTGGTTTGCTTTGATGCCTCCCCTTGTCAACATATCAATGGAACTATATGTTGATTGACAATGCTAGCTGGAACAGCAAACGTCGTGGTTTTGTGCCTGCTGCTTCTATTTCAGTCAAATATGAATCATGCCCAGAGCCTAATATAAATCACTCTCCTATGAAGCTGGCTTTAAGCAAAGCAAGGTGTTGAATTAGAACAAAATTAGAGCACAATTCTGTGTCTCTGACAGCTTAGGCATAAAAGCTATCTCTTCACAAATCACCCTCATAGTATCTGGAAAACAGAAATATAACATAAACAAGTTCAAGACTTTTCACAATTTCTTTACTCTGTTGCCTCTGCTGCTGCCGCTGCCGCTGCCGCTGCCTCTGCCGCTGCCGCTGCCTCTGCCTCTGCCTCTGCCGCTGCCTCTGCCTCTGCCGCTGCTGCTGCCTCTGCCTCTGCTATCGCCACCTTAGGTTTTGGATACGAATAAGCTATAAAACACGAGCCTCCGCCACCAGAACGGGAAGAAGCTCTCTGCACTTTTCCTATCCCCTCGATTCCCCAACGATCTCCATATGAGTTTCTAATCAAGAAGTAGTGCCTACCATCCTTTGAAGTCCCATACCCAACAATAAGAACAACGTGGTTAATAGCCTGCTTATCATCTACCTTCTCTTTCCCTTTCCCTACATTGCGTCTTTTCCGTACCACTTGGTCATCTATGATGGGATTGAGATCCTTCATTATGACTGACTCCCCTGTGTTGCTTCCTTTGACATCCTCCTTAGGTTGCTTTCCTGCTCCTTTCCACCCTTTCTTTGCTTCTTTGCCCTCATCTTTCTTTGTCTCTTTCTCCTTGCGAGCGGTAAGAAACTTCAGTATATTTTCATCGTTCTCTCTTTCTTCATATCCCTCCCCGGTATAGATTCCAAGCTATCAATACAAACACATGAAGAAACAAACACATGAAAGCTTCAAAATAAACAAATTATCAAGAAAGTTCAAAATCAGCAGATCACTTACCCCGTCCCAATCTTTTAATAGCTTAGTGCCCTCTAAAACAGCAACTATTGGTTGTTGAAAGAGTTGTTTCAGAAGCTCTACTTCGTTAACCTTCTCAAATTCTTGAAAACCAACAATCCATAACAGCTCGGACTTCTCTCGACAGTCGATGCCCCTTTTTCGTTTTCCCTCGACTTTGAACGGGTAGTTCTTCTCCTGAGATAGTCCGTTTTCTTTCACGTAAACGTAAGCCTCATTTGTCCTTGTCAAGCCTCTTTTAGCAATTCTATCAACCTCTCCTTTTGGGGCGTGATCGATCAATTCCTGAGCGGAAGCCATCCACAGAGTCCCCTCATCAATAGGCCTGTGTATATTATTGACGGCTTCTATCGACGAGGCAATTGCTATTGCCCAGCAAGTCGCTGAAATATAAAAACAAAAACAGAAAGAAAACGGATGAGTTAATGAACAAAAGTTTTAAATCAGCAAAGTCATTTACAAACTTACGTTGATCCTGCTGGTTCCTTATCTCGGTCGGGATAATATTGTTATAAATCCTACTTGAACTCCTTGCAGCCTTGTTCCTTTCTTCACTCCCCGATGCTTCTGTAACCGCTTTTCCAGTCCAATCTAAAAATGTGTGACTAAGAGCTGCATCAGCAAGGTCCTTAACTCCAGCCATATCAATGTTATCCTCCTTGGCACACGAAGAACAAGACATGATTAATAACTTCATGCATATTCACCAATCAGATTAACATGCTACACCAGGAAACATAAGGTATGCTAACAATAAGCATGAATAGCATATTCATGTAGCCAAACCACCGATGAACATCATTGTTGTGCTACCAGTCTCTCTAATTACTAGGATTCCAAGGCCACTCAAATTTTGGCATCACATCTTTCTTTTTCGTTTTTGATGAAAAGAAAGTCATTTATTTCATCAAAGGCTCTACAAGAGAGCAATGTTACAATTCTAATCAACCTATTAGAATAAAAAACAAACAAACAGAACTCAGCAGTACCTCGATTGCTATACAGAATCGTAACCAAAAATTATCCAGCCACTATAAAGCTCATCAACAATACCGGGGTCATGGAGCCCAAGATCAGTGATAAAGTCACGGAGACTAGTTGATTGTGCACTGTTCCAGACATTTCCTCCATCCTTTTCATGAACGTGTAAGGTGGTATTGAAATCACCAATAACCACAAAAGGAAGATGGATAGTAGAGCAGACATCTCGAAGATGAGCCAGCTGAATAGCTCTGAGAGCGGTGTTACAACTAATATAAACACAAATATAATTGTCTACTTTCATCTTCAAGCGCCAATTATATTTGTGAAGTTTATTATCCTAATTTTCTTTTTCTACTAATTATTTCACCTATGAAATTTGAATAAGGAAGCTTTAAGCGCAAAGTTATGTTTTTTCTTTAGTAATCAATATTAGATATATAAACCATTATCATATTTTTTAAAAATAATATTAGGTATATAAACCATTATCAAATTTGAATTAGCGATCATTTTTCTCTGTCATTCTATTTAAACCATTATCACTCTTTTTTAAAATAATATTATATATATTGGTTTCAAATAATGTAAAAATAATATTTATTTATTTATTTATGATTTCATTTTTATTTATTTATTATTTCATTTTTATTTATTTATCATATCTTTTAAAAAAATTGGGTCTCATTTTTTTTATAGAACATGGCCTCCTGAATCTCAGGATCAGCCCTGTATGTATTACCGTCAAAATCGGTCAATAACGCTGAACTCGCTTACTCGACCGGTCCAACGGAGTAAACCGGTTGACGACCTTTGCCCCAAGTTGATATTTTGAAACGGCCCAGAGTTCGAACGGAACTAGGCCAATTAGGTCCACATATAAATTCAAAAATATAGAAGCGATCGTCCATTCCATCCCTTTCTTTTCGAGGGTTTCCCAAAAGGCGAAAATCGAAAAACCCTAGAAGGAGTAACCACCACGATCGCTCGTTTGGCTGGATCCTTGCATCCACCGGCCGTCTATCGATCGATCCCATGGCTTCCTCCGATGTTGATGAAAAGTATCCTCCGCTGACCTACTACCCCGACAGATTCTGCGAGACCTGCCGGAGACTCGACAAGACGGAGATGAAACCACAGCCCGACGACCAAGAGTATGTGTTTGATTACGAAAATTTCCGTGACGACGAAACCCTAAGGCTACATGTCATCAACTACAGAAGGATCCAATATACGAGGAGTGTAAGTTTGTTGTTTCTGAGATTTTGATTCACTGGGCAAGCTGCTGATATTGTCTATCTAGATCAATGCAGTCAAAATTCGGATATTATGTAGAAGCATTTTGGTGACCGAAAAGTTTAAAAATGTTAGCTCAGCTTCAAAGCTTAGATTTGATTTTGCTTAGAAGCGTTTTGGTCAAGTATAAGTTTTGAAGTTTTAAAACCCGATATTTTACTAATTGATCTCTTGAATGCATGCAGTATTTTGATATTGATTGTCCTCCAAATTATGGCGGCGTTGGTGGGCAACCACACCCTGGAAAGCATTATGCGAACGACGACAAATTTCAAAAGACCGTTGAGGAATGTGCTAGGTTCGGGGTGCAGAAATGTAATGAAGAAACCAAGGTATGAATATGATGATGACACAGCAACAAACAGAGTAACAAAACCCTGCCATTGAAAATGAACGATTTTGAACAGATAGGTTCTTTGATAATGAGACGATCGAGTGTGTGTTTGTTTGCTAATGCAGGTGAAGGGGATTGATTTGGAGTTTGTGGAGGTTCTGAATGTTACTGCTGAAGGTTGTGGTTGGATGAGATTTTACATGACTCTCGCCTGCCGCAATCGGGTTAATGGTAAGCGGAAAGGGATCTCTGAAGCTGGTGGGGATACTAGTGATGACTGTGTGATCCAGAGCTACAGAGTTGTGGTTTCCTGTTCCTATTGGGATAGGAAGGAGAAAAAGATGCTGCTCTTCAAGGACCCAAATGGGAAACGTACGTATATACTACTTCTGTCATGTGCTTGTATAGTATGATCTTAATTACTACCGTATGTGTTGATCGGTTCAATACTCGAAAGTCCTTTGTGTTGAATGCTATGTCTAACTGTAGTTGTTTTTGCAACTTGGTCGATTGACATGCACTTCGTTCACGACTATTCTCTGTGCAGTTGGTTCTTGAACTTGACCCATGCATATATAGGGATTGTGTAAATGAAATGGATAGTATTTTCTGCAAAATCTGTAGTAAGTGGTCTTTCTCATCATTTATGTGGTGTTGTGCATTTTGTGTATCGGAATTGTCAATAAGAAGTATCATTCGTCTGAATAAATAAGGTAAGTGGTCTTTCTCATCCTTCATGTGATTTGAACTTGATGTCCATGTTCCTGTACTTTTACACCTCTGATCTTTTGTTTTGTTTGTTTGTTTGGCTAATATATGCTCATGGTTGGTTTTGTATATATGGAAATAGTGTTAACAATGTTGTCAATTTGTTTTTTAATAAAAGTTGCCTATCCCTCTTTATAGATTTGTGGGAGCCGGCGGATCCGTTTTGCGACCGAGTCAGCGAGCCATATTATGGGGACAAAGTTACTCTAGCTGACGATGGTTCATTGATTGTAGTCCATTCTTCGGAGAATAAAGCTCAGGAATAGGAGGAAGATCAAGTACCTAGTAGTGGTAGTAGTTTAATATGTTTATTGTGTGTGGAACCTTTAGGTATGTATGTTTGTTTATGTCATGGCATTTTATCCTTTTAGGATAAAGTGGGCACCTAAAAATTATCTTGATGGTAGTAGTCATCTCCATCCTTACCCCTCCCAACTGGTCGTCTAAGAGGGCTGGTGGTAATGCGGGAGTCCTTTGATAGCAGGATTCTGGAGGACTTGTAGTTGACTATGTGGATTGCTGAAACAGTTGGTTGTAGTATTAGTAGTCGTTGTTGTCGTTTAACTATGCTTATTGTATGCCGAACTTCGAACTAGAAAAAATGTTAGCTATGTTTATGGAGTGACATTCTAAAGTGAAATGATGTGATGTCTGTGGTTTTCGATGTGAGTTGATTGCTTTTAGGGGTTGTTTTTATCCTCAACTATTGGATAGTGAATAGCCCTCCTAAATCACTTGCCCACCAAAGAACAAGTCATGGTTCAAGTTTGTCAGAATGCTGCACCTCAAGGTCAAAGTTCATCTTCTATTGCTTTCTGCAGCAGATGTTTTTGCTTCTTATCTATTATTTTTACAACGAAAATGAGGATCCTAGTCTGTGGCAAACCTGTGAAATGAGGTCATGGTTACTGGAGGTAGGAACAGAGGCTGATTCGGAGTCTTCTAGAACAGGGTGAAACACATTCAAGACTCGTAGGGCCATGAATTTGCCACTCGTCTGGGCAATGTGTTCATTGTTGGGAAAGCTACTAACCATGGGTAAGAGCTTTCTTTTACCAAGGAGGCAAAGATGAGGATTACCAGGGCCCAGGCAGCTGCAGAGGGAATTTGGAACTCAAAATGGACGTGGCTGCTGTTTTTACCTCCTCGTAGATGAATGTTTGTCCTTTTAAATTCTGAGTTAGCCTCTGAAGAATTTTGGAGTGAACTTGGTTACATTTTTGCTGGGGAGTGTTCTTTCTGGTGCAGTTGTGTGCCATCTTGTATTGTCTGCTGCTTTTAGAAGTTCTGTTGTCATATTTAACGTTTCCTACCGGTCAGAAATTTAGGTCATCAGGTACTAAAATGAGCACATTTGTGTATCTAAGTAAAGCTACCACAGCATCATGAACTGAGTCTTCTTCTTGGGAACATAAGACACTCTGCAAATCATAAAGCATTGATCATATCGTCTGCTCTTCTTTAAAATTCCATACTTAAAACAGAAATGCAAAATCAAATCTGAGACCATTGTTCCATGAAATCAAACCATAAATATAAGTACATTAAGAAAGTATAATGATTGCAGCCTTTGCTTGGATATCCAAAGTAGGACATGAAACTGTGCAGTGATTGCAGCCTTTGTCGTAAGATTATGCAGTAAAACACCCTTCGGCCACCTATGGAGCTTCAACACCGAAGACAACACGTTGATTGCGGTGGCTGCAACTTTGTGAGCAAAGCATGAACCTAGCAAAAGGAAAAGAAAGCAGGCTGGATCCTTTCTAAAGTCAACCCATTTCTCATATATCACTTGTATAATGTATACACAGTCACCCCATTTCTACAGATTCTGGCTTTTGCCACAAGCAACCAATCACTGTATGTGCACTTAGTCCAGCTCATGATGCAGTAGGGGATAAATAACTTACCTGAAGACTCGTAACAGGTATATACATTTCTCAGATCCTCTACAACCAACCCATTCACGTATGCAAGATGAATCCTAATGGCCAATCAGGACTATTCTGTGTTGTTCCCTCGAACAGCTTTGGCACCGATAATAACTTTGAATTCTTGTTGTTGCTCACCTGAGGTTAAAACTCCTTCCTTGACAAGCAAGAACTAACCCCGAAAATGGTTGTGTACTTTAGTAGCAGCAAGTTGCTAAATGGAAAGAAAACAAATTTAAACATCAATCAATTCTATTTAGCTAAAGAACTTCTGTTTATATATAGCTTGTGAAACTATGAAGCAGAGACATTACCAATGCTTTCTCTTTTCTAGCTAGCAACCTTGTTTCTACTCCTTGTCATCCAACCATGAGTATGTTTCTGAATAACAATTGCAGCACTTGTTCGCAAACACATGGAAATAGTAGCTCCTCTAGCATTTAAAATGTGAACATACTTCTGGTGAACTTCTTGAATTCTAACTGAAGAACTATTTCCATGTTGTTCTATTTAGCTGCATTCTCAGAACTAGGCCGGGACTGTTCTGCAAGCTAGCAATGAGAATAATTATAGATCTGGACCTTCAGCAACTCATATCATGTAAGCTATGACACTATGAAAGGACCGTAAGTAATATACCTGTTACACTTTCCACCTTTCTTGTCATAATTGGAAGATTCGTGAAATGAATGGAGCTTCACCAAATTTGCTATTCAGTTCTGCAACATCTCACCACCAAGCGGTAATGGCCTTAAACTTACTTCTTCAATGTTATGAACACTTTCCTGTTCTTGATTCAATTCTACTGGTGAATTCACGAAGGACTTTTCAACACTTCGATATCTCCTCACCAGACTTTGACAATTGCAACCCAGTAACTGGTGAAAATTCAGTTGATCCTAGCAAAAGAAAGTCATTAATAAAATACTGATCAGGTCAACTCTCCTAAAACAATCTCTAATATAGAGTCATCTAGCAATACACACGGCTTTCTTTGTGTCTAGCTGTGAGGAGAGGAATACAAGTAGAATCATCACACTTTTATCACTAATTCCACCACTATGTTCAAGTAGCTCACTGGTTTGCAGCACCTGTAGCTACATCATATAAGAAGTACATTATCTAGAAATCATGATTACCTCCTTTTCCTTCAAGTGACACTCTCATAAGCAAATTCAAACTTAAACAGACTATCGTTCTTGTGCTCTCTTTTAACATCCTTGCTTGAGAAAAACATTTACATGGTGCCAATACATTTTGATGTCCATTATTGTTGCAGACAGAAATGGCAGCATGACGTGATTAAACAACATATTTAGTTTTCTGGCCCATTCACTATCGTTCATCAACACACACTGCAAAAACTACTGATCCAAGTAAATAACACCCAAGAACACAGAGAAGACATAACCAACAAAGGAGAACTTAATGGACCAAGATACTTGATGTATATGATAGGTATCTTTTACTGTCCGGATTCCAGAGCAGAATGTTGAATGATATCCAGTTTCTCAAACTAAAAAACCAAAGTAAGCCAGTCTAATGAACGTGAAGTAGCTATATGGTGGGAACAGAGAAAGAATCACATACATACATACATACATACATACATACATACATACATACATACATACATAAACAAGCAAGACTGTTGAAAGATATCTAGTTCCTCAAACTGAAAAAAATGAAAGTAAGCCAGTCTCATGAACGTGAAGTAGCTATATGGTGGGAGCGGAGAAAGAATCAGATAGAAACATACATACGTAACCAAGCAAGACTGCATTCCCTCCATGTCAATAACAGAGCCTAGAGAATTGATAAGCAAAAGAATTATCACGCAGAACGAATCGTCAGAGCTTAATCTTGTCATATGATCATCTCCAGTCCCGGGCTGAGATCAACAGACTTTACATACTACTGCTAATAAAATTGTGTCCATGTGCTTGGCCATTGTCCTATCCCTGAAATAAAAGAAACACTCATGTAAATTGGGCTGTTCTTTCTGCAACTAAATCTCTAGAATTGCATGGGCATTGACCACATTCTTTTAGCAAAATCACAGTGCACCCAGAGGAACATACTGAAAGAAGAATCAAAGGATCACCCACCCAGCCACAGGTCAACTCAAAAGTATGAGAAAACCCATCAAGAGTACTAAGGCTCACCGGTTTTATGATTCATAATAGAACTAATGGCCCAACATATATGATAAATAACCCTACTCAAGAAACAAAACTGATGAGTAGAGTGGTGATTGATACTGATTCAAGCTCCACTTACCTCGCTGAAAGACCTTCCATTCGTTAAATCACCAAATTTCAATTTGCCCTAATTTTGGACATGCAACTGAGAATATAAGCGCACTAGATTCGATCCAAAGTGTAGCTTGGAGATGGGACAAAAGCAATAATATATTGGGAGATAAAGGAAACTCAATTACCATGGACAAAATAATAGTCCTATCCGGAAAAGCTTGCTTAATTTATCTTTTTTGTATATATTGAGGAGGGAAACTGAATAAAAACAGAAACGAGGTATTAAGGTTTTGTGGAAAAAAGGGAAAATATTAAAACAAATTATATCTTCTCTCCCAACTCTCTGGAACTGATTTCTGGCCGTCTGCTGATTCTTGGTCAGAAAGAACTGAAGTGACTCGAGTCAGAGTTTTACTTAATTTTGATTGATTTTAAGGATAGACTTTTTTTTTTTTTTGGTAGAATAAGGATAGACTTTGGTTAAATGTTAAAGAGAGGTTTTTTTTACTAGATTGGGCAAGAGGTCAGAGGTGGGCTGCGGTTATTGGGCCTAACGCACGCGTAACGGTAGGTGTGGCTGCTGGTGGGGTGGTTGCAACTTGCAATGAAATAATAAAGACGAAAAGAGATAAGGAGGGCTTCACTGTTTCTGCCGCCTCCCTCCCTGACTCATTTGCTTCCAGCTCTCTAATGCGATCTCAATGGATCAAGGTTTGGATTGGTATTGGTTCTGCTTTGTTGATTCTAGCCATAGAGGAGATCCAGCAGCAGCCAAACAACAGCATGGTTCTGTTGTATTGGGGAGAATTGGGATCCATCTGATATGGGGAAAAAGAAGAGAAAGGATTGAGCTTCCTGTGATGGTTTGATCATGGGGGATATGGTGGATATCTGCTCTATTGGTGTGTATTCAATTCAATTCATCCGAAAGTTTTGTCCTTTTATCCCCTTCCTCTTCTTCTTCTTCTTGTTCTCCTTCTTCCTCGTCTTAATCCTCTCTTGTTTTGATTAGATCCAAAGATGTGAAGAAGGTCAAGTGACTGATTGAATCCAATAGGATGGATATCCCATACGATATAGTTATCCTATTGGTTTGTATTCCAATTCCAATCATCTTCATGCCTCCCTCAACGTTTGTCCATTTTTTCCTCTTCAAGAGTCTTCATTCCCTCTTGTTTTGATTAGATCCAAGATCTGGGGAAGTTGAGTTCATAGATTTCTAATGTTCTTGTGTTTCTAGAGGATAAAGTTGTTGACTTTGGCTTCAATCTCCAAGTTGGCCCACACTTTTGAAGAGAATGTGCAGTGAAGAAGAAGATGTTCAGTAGTTTCCTCCGCATCAAAACACAAACAACAGTGATTAGGGATTGGCCAACCTCGCAGCCTAAGTTGGTCTATAGTGAGAATCTTCCTTTGATAAACAAGCCAACTGAATGCAGAAATCTTTGGAGGGGCAGCTGAGTTCCAGATTGTATATGCTGGGAATGTGTTGCCGAGGCCTTGAAATACTTCTTTGGTTAGTGATGAATAGCAATCACTTACAGAAAATTTGTTTCCGGGAAGTAGACAAAGAGGCCTATCAACTGGACCTTGTAGCCAGGTGATGGATATAGAAGTCAAGAGTTGATGGAAGGTCTGGTATTTCTGCAGGATACCACCCCTGAACGTGTACCTGAATTGCACATTCCAACGGATGGTGGAACCTTCAGTTTGATAAGACTCTGACAGTCGAAGGTTTCGATTAGGAGCAGCAGCATAAAGCTCAGGATAACTTTCCGCAAGAGTGCAACGTGGTATCCACCTGTCTTTCCAAAATGAAATTGTCATTCCAGAGCCTGGTTTAATTACTGCACCTTTCCAGAAGTGGGAGGACACCTTGATTATGCGTCGCCAAATAGAGATTCCCATTCGACCTGTATGAACATCAAAATTCCAGCAATCTTGAGGATAATCAAACTTGATGGTGATGAGAGATTTCCACCATGAGTGCTCTTCGTTCAGGGATCTTGAGAGCCATTTTGCCAATAGGGATATATTGAAATAATGCAAGTCCTCCTTATTGTCTATCTGCTTTGACTGAGTTCCAAGAGATTAAGTGAATTTTGCGATCATCTTCTCCACCAGACCACAGGAATCTTTTCATAGTCTGCTCTAACTTGTTTATTATAGAAGTTGGTGCCAATAGTAGTGAGAAGTAGTAGACTGGTAGGGCAGATAGGATGGTCCTCAAAAGAACAATACGACCAGCGAGGGAGAGGAGTTGTCCCTTCCATGTGGAGAGTCGACGGGTCATGCAGTCAACAACAGGGGTCCATGTACTTGTTGATGATGGATGTGCACCGAGAGGCAACCCCAAATAGACTGTAGGAAGAGAGCCTAGTTTGCACCCCAATATGGATGCTAAGTGAGGAGCGTTGTTGACGTCGCCCACTGGAAGGATTTCTGATTTTGTCAAGTTAATGTTCAAGCCGGACATGATCTCAAAGCAAGAAAGTGCAGCTCGTATGTGTAGAACTTAAAAAATGCTGGCTTCGCAAAATAGAAGAGTAACGTCTGCAAATAACAAGGGAGTGACCTGACCTGTCTGATTAGCTTGATTTATGTAGTATCCTGATATGCATTGAGCTTCCTTCAATTTGTCTAGGATAAGGGAGAGACCTTCCATGACAATAAGAAAGAGAAAGGGAGAAAGAGGGTCGCCTTGTCGGAGCCCTCTATAGCTTCTGAAGTAACCTGTGGACTCGCCATTGAGTAGTACAGATAGGTGGGCTGTAGAGATTGCCGTTTTGATCCAAGAAAGCCATTTTTCCCCAAAACCCATACTGCGCATACAATGCAGAAGAAAGTTCCAGTTTACATGGTCAAAAGCTTTTTCTATATCGAGCTTAAGAAGAATACCCGGACGACCGCATTTTATTCGTGTGTCAATCAGCTCATTGGCGATAAGAGCAGCATTCATGATCTGCCGACCGTGAATGAACGCCATTTGAGATTCTGAGATGAGGGTACTCATGTGCGTTTTCAACCGGATCATAGATTGAAATCCTGAAACAGTAAGCGACCCTCTTGTATCATGATTGAATGATGGTCAAAGAAGAAGAAGAGGTGTCTTCTTCTATTGGACAGGATTGTTGGATTGTGTTTCAGGGATAGCACTAATACGAGGGTTGTGGTATGTTTGACTAAAGAAATGATATAAATTGCTACTGATGCTGATGGGTCATATCTTCTTTGCGAAGAGGATTCGAGGAAGATGTATTACAGTTTAAAGAAAAGAAGGGGAAAAAAACAAGACGTTTCATAAGGCTGAATCTTTATACTTCCTCAGCAGAGAAGTCAGCATCTAGGAATATAGAGGCTGACTGGCTAAGACACCTCTTCTTTGTCTTTAGCCATCATCAATCATGAGGAGCTGACCTCTGTTTAGGGATGTAGGAGGGCCAAGAAACTAGTTGGAAACAATTGAAGGATTCGTGTGGTAGAGGCCATTATGAAGACTAACTATACCAATACTCTTCCCCAAAGCAAGGTCCTGCATATGACAAACATTGGAGAAAAATGACAAGCATAGAGGTAATGTGTGGTGGTCAATTGACTAACTGAGATCTGGCTGAAGTTGAATGAAGGCACGGAGAGAGCATTGATGAGAGTTAAGGAAGGTACTGCAGAAAGGACAGCTGAATATGTTGTTATTGTGTTTCTGGAGGATAAAGTTGTTGACTGTGGTTTCAATTTCCAAATACTGGTTCTTATCCTTTTGGTCAGTGATTCAAACTTGGCTCAGATCTGGGTTTGGTTTGCTTTGTCACTATAATTCAATCTTTGAGGAATGCTTTATTCTGAGAATCTGTGTTATTGCAGTCCTTTCATTGATTGATTCTGCAATGAAATGATCACGAGGGTTGAAGTAGGTCATTGTGTAGCATTAGGGATTATACTACAAGGGTACATATCTCTTATTTATCTAGCAGGAGGAAGGATTGACATTGGAATGATATGGTAACAACCAGAATACTCTATTCTACCGCCAGCAGAAAAACCAGGATGATTGTTGGGTGATCTCTGACCGACAGCTTGTAGCAGTAACGGATTGATTGCAATTCTTCTTGACTCTGGCTAGAGTCTTTCGAGCAACCTTGAGAGAAAGTCGTGCTTGCTCGAGACTCAATGAACTGCTACTTGGTTCAAAACCTGGTGCCTTGCGTTGTAGGTTTGTCATCAAACCTCATGTTTTGTGTTTCTGCTGAGGGAGTACAAAGGTTCAGGTTGGGTTTCTGGCAGACATTAATAGAAGAAGGCACCTCTTCTTTGTCTTTAGCTATCACCATTCATGAGGAGCTGACTTCTGTTCAGGGCTGTAGGAGTGGCAAGAAACTAGTTGATTCTGCCATGAAATGATCACTAGGGTAAAATATAGTAGGTCATTGTGTTACTAGGGTACATATTTCTTATTTATCAGGCAGGAGGAAGGACTGATATTAGGATGATATGGTTTTAACTTCTTTTTGTAGACTCTGAACCATCCAGAAGACTATTCTACTGCCAGTTGAAAATCCAGATGATTGTGATGGAACGATTACAAAAAGAAGTTAAAACCATATCATCCTAATATCAGTCCTTCCTCCTGCCTGATAAATAAGAAATATGTACCCTAGTAACACAATGACCTACTATATTTTACCCTAGTGATCATTTCATGGCAGAATCAACTAGTTTCTTGCCACTCCTACAGCCCTGAACAGAAGTCAGCTCCTCATGAATGGTGATAGCTAAAGACAAAGAAGAGGTGCCTTCTTCTATTAATGTCTGCCAGAAACCCAACCTGAACCTTTGTACTCCCTCAGCAGAAACACAAAACATGAGGTTTGATGACAAACCTACAACGCAAGGCACCAGGTTTTGAACCAAGTAGCAGTTCATTGAGTCTCGAGCAAGCACGACTTTCTCTCAAGGTTGCTCGAAAGACTCTAGCCAGAGTCAAGAAGAATTGCAATCAATCCGTTACTGCTACAAGCTGTCGGTCAGAGATCACCCAACAATCATCCTGGTTTTTCTGCTGGCGGTAGAATAGAGTATTCTGGTTGTTACCATATCATTCCAATGTCAATCCTTCCTCCTGCTAGATAAATAAGAGATATGTACCCTTGTAGTATAATCCCTAATGCTACACAATGACCTACTTCAACCCTCGTGATCATTTCATTGCAGAATCAATCAATGAAAGGACTGCAATAACACAGATTCTCAGAATAAAGCATTCCTCAAAGATTGAATTATAGTGACAAAGCAAACCAAACCCAGATCTGAGCCAAGTTTGAATCACTGACCAAAAGGATAAGAACCAGTATTTGGAAATTGAAACCACAGTCAACAACTTTATCCTCCAGAAACACAATAACAACATATTCAGCTGTCCTTTCTGCAGTACCTTCCTTAACTCTCATCAATGCTCTCTCCGTGCCTTCATTCAACTTCAGCCAGATCTCAGTTAGTCAATTGACCACCACACATTACCTCTATGCTTGTCATTTTTCTCCAATGTTTGTCATATGCAGGACCTTGCTTTGGGGAAGAGTATTGGTATAGTTAGTCTTCATAATGGCCTCTACCACACGAATCCTTCAATTGTTTCCAACTAGTTTCTTGGCCCTCCTACATCCCTAAACAGAGGTCAGCTCCTCATGATTGATGATGGCTAAAGACAAAGAAGAGGTGTCTTAGCCAGTCAGCCTCTATATTCCTAGATGCTGACTTCTCTGCTGAGGAAGTATAAAGATTCAGCCTTATGAAACGTCTTGTTTTTTTCCCCTTCTTTTCTTTAAACTGTAATACATCTTCCTCGAATCCTCTTCGCAAAGAAGATATGACCCATCAGCATCAGTAGCAATTTATATCATTTCTTTAGTCAAACATACCACAACCCTCGTATTAGTGCTATCCCTGAAACACAATCCAACAATCCTGTCCAATAGAAGAAGACACCTCTTCTTCTTCTTTGACCATCATTCAATCATGATACAAGAGGGTCGCTTACTGTTTCAGGATTTCAATCTATGATCCGGTTGAAAACGCACATGAGTACCCTCATCTCAGAATCTCAAATGGCGTTCATTCACGGTCGGCAGATCATGAATGTTGCTCTTATCGCCAATGAGCTGATTGACACACGAAT